GCAGGGTGTGCGTTTCTGAATTGCGCAAACTCCGCCTGGAGGTTGTAGAGCAATCCTCGGGTCTCGTTGAGCTCGGCGGCTTGGGCAGCTTGGGCTGCGTCCCGAGCGCGTCGTCGTCGGTGAGATCTCGACCCGCTATGCCCGGATGAAGCCTCCTGGCTGGCTTCCTGCATCTGTACGTCTTCCTGCTGACGGTTCGGGTCTTGGGGCCCCAAACGTTGCCGCATCTCCGGTCGAAGACGATCGAAAGCTGCCGCTCGGGCAACTTCTTCGGGGTCCCCGACCGAGTTCTTCACAAGAAGCCCGACCTGTTACCTGCAAAGACAAGAAGAAAAGGACGAAGGCACACCGGTCGAGGTAAAGCTATGTCGGTCGGGATATTCCCTACCAGCAGGTTACAATCAATTTTAGCAGGTTACCTGCTTACGTGGCGGCTGAGTTGGCATTTTTAATAATTTTATAATAATTTTTAATAACTTTTAATAATAATTTTTTTATAAAAAAATTGAAAAAAATAAATAAATAAATTTTTTTTAAAAAAAAATTGTTTTAAATAATTTTTTTTAAACTTTATTATTAAACTTTATAAAAAAATATTTAAAAATTATTAAAAATGCCAACTCAGCTGCCACGTAAGCAAGTAACTTGCTAAAATTGATGGTAACCTACTATCAGGTGAAATTGCATACATTTGGAGTGTTTAGTGGCCTAATTGCACTTTTTTTTTCGTTCAGTGGCCTAATTGCATTTTCAGGTTACGTTCAGTGGCCAATTTGAACCTTATTCCTTTAAAAAAAAAAATTTAGGTTTAAGTTTTTTTTTTTTTTTTCGATTAATTAATCTTCTATTGATTATTTAGATCAGAACAGAACTTAATATTTCAATTATACTTTTGCATGATTGGTATGATTTAGGTTGTTATGGTATTAATATTTTTTGTATGTATTTTTATAATGGTACAATTGTATATTACTTTACCAATATTATACTATTATTTTTTTATCGGACAAAATTGTTCTTACATCATTGTCAAAACTGCGCGACCTAACTACAAAGTTGTTGATCATAAATACAATTACACCTGGACTCTAAAACGGTAAGACCATTTTCAAAAAAATTGACAATGTTGACATCCCATACTAGCTCCAATTGAACAAGTTTACACATCAGAATTTTATCAATGCATGAAAACTTATAAAGAAATTTGTAAGTTAATTTTTACTATATCATTATAACAATATCGATTATAACTATATATTTTGAATTATTTATTATCATCCTCTATTGACAGGAATTGTAACAATTGTCATTGACAAACTCTCAAAACAATTTGTCTCAACAATGAATGTAAATTAAAAAAAAAATCAATTCATTATTGTTTATGAACAATATGTAAGCAACTTTATTTCTCTTATCTATCTACTATACTAATAAGAGCCCAAGAGAGTTAGGCCTATAATGGGTAGAAAAAATGACGGTCAAATTTTTTAATCAAATGAATGACTCAGATTGATCAGATTTTAATTTTTCCTTAAGATTTACTAATTTATCCTTAATGAATATGATTATCCGTTAACTTTTTCGTTAAATATTATCTTTTTCGTTACTTTCTGTTAGTCCACCGTTAACTTACTCATTGATTTCAATAAGAAAGGTCTTAGGTTCGAACCTCATCATAATCAAAGTTGGCATAATTAGTACTCTATTTCTACTATACTAATAAGAGCCCAAGAGAGTTAGGCCTATAATGGGTAGAAAAAATGACGGTCAAATTTTTTAATCAAATGAATGACTCAGATTGATCAGATTTTAATTTTTCCTTAAGATTTACTAATTTATCCTTAATGAATATGATTATCCGTTAACTTTTTCGTTAAATATTATCTTTTTCGTTACTTTCTGTTAGTCCACCGTTAACTTACTCATTGATTTCAATAAGAAAGGTCTTAGGTTCGAACCTCATCCTAATCAAAGTTGGCATAATTAGTACTCTATTTAGTCTTATTAAATTATTACTAGTTAGTACACGCGCTATACCAATGCCCAATGTGTATTTATGAATTAGTGTTCTTTAATTGGTTAAAGTATTCATATAATAATGAGAGATGAATATGAAATTAATACCTACAATTGATGTCAATGACAATACCTACAATTGCCGTCATAGGGGATGGCAAGAAATAATTAGTAAAATATTATTAGAATAGATATTGGTAAAATGTTGTAATAAAGATTAACTTACAAATTTTTTTTGACTTTTTAATGCATTCATAGAATTTTAAGAATAGTGTGTACACTTATTCAGTGGTGTGTCAGCATTGTCACTTGTTTGGATACTGGTCCGCCCATTTAAAATCCATGTATACTTGTATTTATGATCAAGTACTTTATAGTTCGTCTGGGCAGGTTTGATAATGGCATTTGAAATTATGTACCACTTGTTGATCTTTAAAGTGCTATCATAAATTCCAATGTCATTATCAAACACTATTGATTGAACCCGAGTCCCTGCATATAGATATATCACTTACAATGATGTTGGTGGTGAATGAAAACACCTTAATTTGTGTGTAAATAAAGAAGTATACATGTCTAATAAATATAAATTAATAAATGACTAATAATAATAATAATAATAATAATAATAATAATAATAATAATTATTATTATTATTATTATTATTATTATTATAATTAAAAAATAATAATTATAATCCCGCTAAAATATTCAAACTCATGATTCATGAATGAGAATACAATTTTGAATTCTGATCTTTCTACAATAACATAAATAAATATTCTACATTAACAAAAAAAAAAAAAAAAAAAAAAAAAGGAAACCAAAAAAGCATGTTAGAATACATAACTACTGATTGAAGAACAAATACATAAAAATGACAAAATCAGTATTAACATCGCACTCACCCAAGGTTCATTTACATCACCACACTGGAAAGCAAAGCAAATTAAAGTCAAAGCCAACAATTTTCCAGTAGCTCATCCCATTAGCAATGCCAGAACTCTACCAAACAATCCCATTATTTAAATCAATTATTCCAATGGTCCACCAAGATAGGTGGACCATCTTCTTCATTCAATTAATTCCATTAGCTCACCCAGCCACCACTCAACATACTCAGATTGCTCCAAATCAACAGATAGACTCAGTAGCAACCCATTGAAGCCAATCATTGTTGCGGAATCAACTCCATCCAAGTTAATTTGTTTTAAAAGACTTTATCTGGCAATTAATATAAACTATTTATGGATGCAAATACAAGGAGTGAAAAAAGACAACCAATTTCATAAATGCTCACAAAAGTAACCATCAAGAAACAGCAAACACTATTTGCTTGACTTAAATGCATATAGAGGTGAAAAGGGGTAATAATTTGAAACAAATTTCACGTTTTTTTATTATACATTAAGTTTCACAGCTTACGTTAGACTAATCCTAAGCGTCCAGACCACAACCCAAGAGCACGAGAGGAGTTAAATCACGAGTCACCCAATCAGTCCTCTGATCAAATTTCATCTAATTTAATTAGCAGAAGGTTAATTTCCTCCGGTGAGCTTAAGCAATTTGCAATTATACCAAAAGTCAAATACTTTCTAAGGGGCATTAAAACCCTACCAAGTCAGCACTCATAGATATGAATCATATGTATGTTAATGAATGCTACATGTAACTGGCAATTTAAAGAGCATAAAGGCCAGAGAAGTAAATAAATTTGAAACTATAATTAATAGCACAAACCATGAAAAGGGCACAACACCGCAAGAAAATGGCTTTCTTGCTCGTCTGATCGCGGAGCACATGCGTTGGATTCTTCTTAGTGGCGGTCGGCTGTGCTTCTCCTAATTGCCCTTCACTGGTGTTTGATTCTCCTTAGCCGTGCTTCTCCGAACTGCTACCCTAATTTGTTTGCGGTTGGCGGTAATGCTTCCCCTAATTGCCATTAAAATTTGTTTGTGGTCGGCGATAATGCTTCTCCTAACTACCATTAAATTTCACATAAACTTCAGTTTTGCCACCGCGCAACTCCATTTGATGGAATCGTTAAATTTAACATTGAAAGTTTGGTAAAATTAAGAAGAGTGAGGTTATGATGAGTTGAAGAAAATCTGACACAGAACCTATTAGAAACAAAAAATGAGAGCATTCACGGAAACAGGAAGGAAAGTTTATTGGAACAAGCAAGAGATTCATAAGCATAAATAAGGAAACCTGTCATTCAGTATAAAAATGGGCACTCTATGTACTAAAGATAAGAGGTTAGATTGACACAAGGACTATAGAGTAGGTATAGAAACTGAAAAAAAAAATGCCCTCTACACAAGCACACAACCTATTAAAAACAAAAAATTATAAGACAATGACAAGAAGGTGCAGACTACACAAGCACACAACCTATTAAAAACAAAAAATTAGAGCATTCACAAAAATCAATGTGGTTCAAGTATGTTTCAAAGGAACCATAAAGCTTAAACATAAAATTCGACTTGTTATAAGAGTTATCTATTTTTTTTTCTTCCCTAATTTAAACCGATTAACTATGAAAATCTAAGCTAATTTGTTTCTTTGAGATCCTTTATCAACTAAAGTTATAAGGTCATCCCAATAGAAGTTTTTGGTGTGGTTTTTGAAAAAGCAAGACTTATATATGGAGGAGAGAGAGAGAGAGAGAGAAAGCTCCCTACGAAGCATTGGTTGTTATCATATGTGTGGGACCGATTAAGAAAACAGGTTTTCACGCCCATCTCGCATGAAGAGCAACACAACACAATGCCCAACTGGGCATATTAATGGTGCTTTTCTCTCTTCTTTTTTTTTCCAGCTTTGTTTTGCTTTTTTTTTTTTTTTTCCTCTTCCCTCTCATCTTCTCTTTCTAGCCACTCATGCAAAAATTCTTTAAAAATTACAACTATTGAGAATGCTCCAAGGCAAAGTTGACTTAAAAATCTAAAACATTTTGAATATTAGTTGATATTTTTAGTAAATGGTAAAAATATATAGTACCGAGTATATACTATTGATCTGTACTAAATAAGTTAAAAAGACTTGTATAGTAATCCACCCTATATCTATGTTAATCCATTCTGTATTGCTGCTGCATGCCTGCATTATAAATATATAAAAGGTATGGACAAAATCATTAACTTTTTCCCCACTGCATTTCCATTCATCTTATCCAATCGTCCAAAAGCATTTTTCTTTTATCATCTTTGACAGGGAAGATGAAGTCTTTACCACAGGGAAACAAGAAACAGAAGTCAGACAACAACCTAGACTTCAACGAAAACTACAAGGAACAAGAAGTATATTATACAGTTATTTTTGTTTCAATAATCAAGATTCAGTATATATGTGGATTTTTGGAAGAAAAGGGGCATCTGGTTCTCAGCTTCCTCAACAGCTGAGGTAGTTACTCAAGGAATCGGAATTTCTGTTTGGATTTTGGGATCATTTCCATTCTTTTTCACTGTTTTTTCTGCGGTATATTTTCCATATATGGATCTTTTCTTGGATCGTTTCTTCAGAAATTGTGTAATCTTAATGCTTTTCTATTGATTTTGGTCAACTGATATGCCATGGTAATGGCAGATTAAGCTTTTATGAAATCTGGGAAATGATGTATTTGAGAAAAAGGAAGTCTTTACAGGGTAGATGTGATGTTATCAACAATCAAGATAAGGGGAAATAGAAAAAAGGTTTTCTTGAAGGTTTTACAACTTTGATGTTTGGTTTTATACTTAAATATACATCTGGTATGAGGAACCAATCAATTGTTCATTCAACTGGATGTGAACTGTTAGAAAATAGTGTGTGGCTCAAAATCCTTCAGACCATGTCCACCCACGCTGCATGCGCGCATCAGCCTTTCTCTCCGATTGCGTCGTTGATCCTCTGCGTGCCGCATTTCTTGCTTAATTTCAATGTATAAATAGCTTAATGTTTGTCTTGTAATATGCACCTCAATTAAGAATTCTTTCTTCTTTCTTTCTTTGTCCCACACGTAGAGCATATATATATATATATATATATATATATATATATATATATATATTTTCCTTTTATCTCTCTTTGTAGAGATTAATATATATATATTTCATATTTTCCATTTTATATTATATTTATTTGTCATTTATTATATTTTCCTTACTATTTAACTTCTATAATTCTCAATTTTCGATTCTTCGCTTTCGCATTATTCCGCTATATTCCTAACAAGTGGTATCAGAGCGGTTTAATTGAGAGTTATTTTCAAAGATGTCAACTGTTACCAAGTTCGATATCGAGAAGTTCGACGGGAAAATTAGCTTTTCTATCTGGAAGGTTCAGATGGAAGCCGTTCTAACCCAGAACGGTTTGAAGAAAGCGCTAGCTGGGAAGAAGAAGAAACCGGCTGCAATGACAGATGAAACTTGGGAAGATTTGGATGACAAGGCACGTTCAACCATTCTTTTGTGCCTGTCTAAAGAGGTTCTACGTGAGGTGTTAAGTGAGACGACTGCGTCAGATTTATGGTCCAAGCTGGATACGCTTTACATGGCCAAAACTCTGGCGAACACGCTACGCCTGAAGGAGCGTCTGTACACAATCCGTATGACGGAAGGTACTTCTATCAAATCTCACTTGGATGAATTCAATTCTATTTTATTGGACTTGGAAAATATTGATGTTATAATTGAAGATGAGGATCGCGCTGTTTTATTGCTTGTCTCTCTCCCTAGATCATACACGCATTTCAAAGAAATTATGTTGTATGGTAATAGTAGTGATACCCTTACTTTCGACAATGTTAAGTCAAACCTATTATCCAAAGAAAAGTTTGACTTTGAAATTAAGTCTAAGGACAAAGGTGAAGGCTTGACCGTAAGGGGTCGTTCACTTGAATCAGGGAGTAGCAATAAAAATTCTAGATCCAAGTCCAAAGGACGTAAGTCCAACAAATCCTGTAAGTACTGCAAGAAGCATGGTCATGATGTGACTGAATGCTTCAAGTTGAAAAACAAGCAAGAAAGAGAAAATAAGTCCGTTGAAGCTAGTGTTGTTGAAAGTGATTCAGAAGGCGATGTTATGTTATCTGTTACCTCCGGTTGCAAACGGAGCGAAACCGAGTGGATTCTGGACTCTAGTTGTACATTCCACATGTGTCCTCACAAAGACTGGTTCGTCTCTCTGGAACCGGTTGATGGTGATGTTGTCTTGCTGGGTAATGATACCCAATGCAAGGTTAGTGGAATTGGAAGTGTTCAGATTAAAACTCATGATAACGTTATAAGGACTCTTACTAATGTTCGGTATATTCCTGATTTGAAACGCAATCTGATATCGTTGGGTACCTTGGAATCTCTGGGGTGCAAGTACATAGCTGAAGGTGGAGTTTTGAAGGTCATAAAAGGCTCTGTTGTTCTCATGAAAGCTTCACGTTCCGGAAGCTTGTACGTCTTGCATGGCAGTACTGTGACAGGTTCAGTAGCGGTATCCTCATCGATGTCTGATGCGGATCTCACTCAATTATGGCATATGCGTCTGGGGCATATGAGTGAGAAAGGCATGCATCTCCTGAGCAAGAAAGGCCTCATTGTTGGTTCAGGTACGGGTAAATTACAATTTTGTGAGCATTGTGTTTTTGGGAAACAAAAGAGGGTTAGTTTCTCTACTGCTACACACCGTACCAAAGATGTATTGGAATATATACATTCTGATTTATGGGGACCAACTAAATTCTAGTCTATGGGAGGCTGTAGATATTTTATGTCTATTATTGATGACTTTTCTCGTAAAGTCTGGGTCTATTTCCTGAAACATAAAAATCAAGCATTTTCTATTTTCAAGAAATGGAAAATACTTGTTGAGACTCAAACAGGTAAAAAAGTCAAGAAGCTTAGGACAGACAATGGCTTGGAGTTCTGTGAGTCAGATTTCAATGACTTTTGTGCGGCAAATGGAATTGCCAGGCACAAGACCTTGCCTGGTAAACCCCAGCAGAATGGTGTTGCCGAACGTTTGAACAGGACTCTATTGGAAAGAGCGCGTTGTATGCTCACTAATGCTGGGTTATGGAAACGGCGTGATTTTTGGGCCGAGGCCGTTTCTACTGCTTGCTATTTGGTAAATAGATCTCCACATTCATCCCTTGATTTCAAAATTCCAGAGGAAGTTTGGTCAGGTAATCCTGTTGATTACTCTATCTTAAGAGTTTTTGGATGTCCTGCTTATGCTCATTCCAGTACGGGTAAATTAAACCCGAGAGCTGTCAAATGCATTTTCCTTGGTTATGCTTCTGAGTCAAAAGGGTATCGTCTATGGTCTCCTGATTCTCGGAAAATCATTCTGAGTCGAGATATCACTTTTGATGAAAATGCACTACTTTCTTCTGGAAAAGTTCCCAGTACAGGTGAGACACAAAGTACTGGTGAGAAGGTGGAGTTTGAATTCAGGCCTATTGATAGTGTTACTACTACTGATGGTAATACTAAAGATGATGCATCTACTAGCACCGCACCTCTCGTCGAGCCACAGCGAGAGTATTCCATTGCTATGGATCGTCCTAGGAGGACAATTAAAAACCTGCTAGGTATGCTAGTGATGATGAAACCAACATGGTTGCTTATGCTCTTTCAGTCGCATAGGAAGTTGATGGTGATCCATCCTGCAATTCTGAAGCTCTTCCTATTACTAAGTTCAAGCAGCGTTTGATTTTAGTCGACTGCTCCAGTTGTTAATTCCATAATGAATTTGACCCAAGGTGGAGATTGTTAGAAAATAGTGTGTGGCTCAAAATCCTTCAGACCATGTCCACCCACGCTGCATGCGCGCATCAGCCTTTCTCTCCGATTGCGTCGTTGATCCTCTGCGTGCCGCATTTCTTGCTTAATTTCAATGTATAAATAGCTTAATGTTTGTCTTGTAATATGCACCTCAATTAAGAATTCTTTCTTCTTTCTTTCTTTGTCCCACACGTAGAGCATATATATATATATATATATATATATATATATATATATATATATATATATATATATATATATATATTCCTTTTATCTCTCTTTGTAGAGATTAATATATATATATTTCATATTTTCCATTTTATATTATATTTATTTGTCATTTATTATATTTTCCTTACTATTTAACTTCTATAATTCTCAATTTTCGATTCTTCGCTTTCGCATTATTCCGCTATATTCCTAACATGAACTATGCATCTATTTCATTATTTCAACACAAGATTAACAGCTAAAAAACCCTACACAATGCAAGCACATATTCAGCAATCATTACAACTAAAAAAATAATTTCGTTGCTTTCAAAAAAAAAAAAAAATCGCTAAACAAACCACAACACATTAGCGAACATCCAAACAAGCAAATCACAACTCAATCGAATATCAAATCAAACAAACTACAATAAAAAATAAAAAATAATAATAATAATAATAAAAATAAAACAATGAATCGCCGCAATACGTGCTCGAAAAGTCCACGGAGAAACGAACGAAAACAAGCGAGAAGAGTCAAACCTGACTTTGCTTTGCTTGATGGAAACGGACCTTGGCGATAGTCCGACCTCATCGGTGGTTGGAGTTGTGATGGATGGCAACGGATCCGGCGACCTCTCCCTCTCCTTTTGTCGCTTTTCCTCTTCCTGCCTCTATTCGCTTCTCCTTAATGCCATTTCATTTAAACTACACTTTTGCCACCGAACTTCAATTGACGGAAGCTGTTAAATTTAACATTGTAATTTTGCGAGTCAATTCCATTTTTGGTCCTAGACTTATTGGGGTGTAGACAGTTTTCATCCTCCATAATAAAAATTGCCAATTTGTAGCCACACTTATGAGTCGTTGGACAGTTTTAATCCTCCGTCAGTTCAACCGTTTGTTGACCGTGAAATTGAAGGGCATTTATGTCTTTTTGTCTTTTTTAATTTTTTTTTTTATTTTTTTTATTCTTTTTGTAAGTTCAGCCGTGTGTTGACCTATGTCTTTATGAGAAACGTTCGGGTGGGTGGAGGCTGCCGGAGGAACAAGAGGAGTAAGAACGGTTCCAAGTCCACCGGGGGAGCCGCGACTGTCTCCGAGAAACAAAGCGGCGGTGGGAATACAAATACTAATACTTCCACTCATATTTCATGCCCCCTACTAGCTGCGGAAGCGCAGAAATTTCCGGCAACTTTTCACAGCAGCTGCCACTCATGGCCGCGTTTCAAGCCGGCTTAAACCATTTCGGATGCTTCCAACCTCCACAACTGGTGGCTAATGAAAACGGAGGGGTTTGGTGAAATGAGCTTCCAATTAGGAAGTAGCAATAACTTGTTATCAGACAGAGCCGGAGGAGTCGAGAACTGTTCTGAGCCGGATTCAAGCAACTCCGGTTCTTCCTCTGTCGTTGATTTCGACAGTTTTGAGCCGAATTCGCTGGGGAAAGCTATTGATCTCAACCTCAATCTCCCTCCTCCCGCTCCGATTGACAGACATGTTCAGCCCCACCATGTCTTTTCTTTTCTTTTCTTGAAAAACAAAATTTTTATTGCGCTGAGGATTTCTTCGATTAAACCGCTTTCACTTCCGTTCCTCTCAACGGAGAGGTGGTGGTGGCGGCAACGCTTTCCCCTCTTTCTTTTGCTTTTTACTTATAGAGTTAATTCCTTATAGAGTATCTGATCCGATTTATTCTCTTTTGTTCACTCTTCCAGATTCGAGAAGGGCTCTTCAGAGAGTGAGGTGTGGAAGGATTCAGCGGCTCTCTGTGTTTGGGGTTTTTTTGTTGAAGCTTTGGCTCAATCTGTTTTGCTATGTATTAATCTCTTCTGCTTTGCTCAATCTCTGTATGTAATTGTTTTCCCTAGTGGTTTTAGGATTTTTTTTTTTTTTTGGTTTGATTTATGTTGTTTTATGAGACTAGTCTGTGATGGGTTTGTGTGAATTTTGCAAGACTTGTTCTATACTAGAGTGTTTTGGGAGATTCCACATAATATGGTGTAATATGGTGTACATAAACATGCACTGCCGGCAGATAAGGCGGATTAGAAGAGGAAGACATAAAAAGACAGAAATGCCCTTCATTTTCACGGTCAACGGACGGTTTTATTGACGGGGGACTAAAAATGTCCAACGATCAATAAACGTGGCTACAAATTGGCAATTTTTATTATGGAGGATGAAAACTGTCTACACCCCAATAAGTCTAGGACCAAAAATGGAATTGACTCTAATTTTGCTATTAGTAAGAAAAATGAGGGTATATTAGAGTTTTAATTGGTTGATGTACAATTAAATGAGCACAAAGTATGATCTTGTAGAGCATGTGTTGTACCGACATGTTTTTAGTTCCCGTTAAGGGTCTAACAATATTGACTCTTATTAAAATTGTAGAGATTGTAGAGATAGAGATTTTGTAGAAATAATAATTTAGTAGCTACAACAAAAAATAATACATATGCATTTTTTTAATTTAGAATTATGTGTCTACAATGTCGTTATTCAAAAAAAATTATTCATTAAAATAAGAGAAATAATTTCATTAGTTATATTGTGTTTATTTTTCTCCAATATAAAAATTCTTTACATTCAAATTCATCAATTGATTATGTTCACTACATTGTCCCTACAATGTCTTTACTAAAAAAAAAAAAATATTCATTATCAATAAATTAATTAAGAGACATAATTTTATTAGTTCTATTGTCTTTATATTTCTCCAACTAAAAATTTTTTACATTCAAATTTCAAATTCATCAATTGATTATATTCACTACATTGTCTATTATTTTTTGTGCACTATTTTTTAATTAAATATAAAAGTTATAATACAAAATAATGCTATATAGTTGTTTACCAAGTATTTTATTAATACCATGAAAAATTTTAAAAAATCTACTATCTACTATATCTACTATACTAATAAGAGCCCAAGAGAGTTAGGCCTATAATGGGTAGAAAAAATGGCGGTCACAAATTTTAATCAAATGAATGGCTCAAATTGATTAAAAGATTGATCAGAATTAAATTTTACACTAAAATTTCCTAAAATACCCACACACCGTTACTAATTCCGTTAAAATTTTAAGAATTGCCGTTAGTTCACCGTTAACTTACTCATTGATTTCAATAAAAAAAAAAAAAAAAAAAAGGTCTTAGGTTCGAACCCCATCCCAAACAAAGTTGGCATAATTAGTACTCTATTTTACTCTTATTAAATTACATAAATAATAATTTAGTAGTTACAACAAAAAATAATACATATGCATTTCTTTAATTTAAAATTATGTGTCCACAATGTCTTTATTCAAAAAAAAAAAAATTATTCATTATCAATAAATTAAATAAGATAAATAATTTTATTAGTTATATTGTCTTTATTTTTCTTCAATATAAAAATTCTTTATATTCAAATTTATTAATTGATTATATTCGCTACATTGTCCTTACAATGTCATTATTCAGTGAAAAAAAATTATTAATTATCAATAAATTAATTAAAAGAAATATTTTCATTATATTGTCTTTATTTTATTTTTCTTCAATATAAAAATTCTTTATATTCAAATTTATTAATTGATTATATTCGCTACATTGTCCTTACAATGTCATTATTCAGTGAAAAAAATTATTAATTATCAATAAATTAATTAAAAGAAATATTTTCATTATATTGTCTTTATTTTTCTGAAATGTAAAATTTTTTACATTCAAATTCATCAATTGATTATATTCACTAGATTATCTATTATCTTTTTTTGTGCACTATTTTTCTAATTAAATATTAAAGTTATAACATAAAATAATGCTATATTTATTTACCAAGTATTTTATTAATACCATTAAAAAATTAAAAAAATATAATTAATAAAGCCAACCATATTAACTACAGAGATTTGTGACAAAGAGAGTATTCAAATCACACAACAAATTGAAGTGAGAACTACCTCGCAATGTCCTTGTTTGACAATCAGCAGTAGCGGTTAGCGTTAGCGGATTATACTAGCGGATTTGACCAGCGAATTTATTTAATTATTAACATTGGGTAGAAAAAATGACCGCCAAATTATTAAATCAAATGAATGGTTCATATTGTTCAGGTTTTAATTTTTTTCTTTTAAGATTTTCTAATTTATGGTTCATATCCTTTTCTAATTTATCCTTAATTATATGATTATCCATTTAACTTTTCCGTTAATTCACCGTTAGTCTAATATAGAATTATAACTACACCATTAATCTAATTCTAATATTAAAGTCTTAATAGAACTTAACCACAAATCCTAATGTCAGAATCTCCTCAAACAATATTAGTATATATTTAATATTTTATGCCCTAATTTTTATTTGTTCTCCCTTATGTCCCGTATTTGGTTTCAACCATACCTATACAATTATTTTATTGACAATTATAATCAATATTGACTATATTATCTTGCATTTGTAAACTTAGAATTACCTATTTAACCTGCACGGGCTTAGTTCAATGGTTTAGTGGGTAGTATTTGGGAGAAGAGACCAAGGTTTGAACCTCGGCGGCGGCAATGCGGGAATTATGTCCAAAGTGGGAAGATTCCTTGTGTGTATCAGCATTTGGCCCTGTCTGCTGAACCATTGAGTCACCGTGATTTACAACTTCCCACAATGCTCTGTCGGGTCGGAGTGTGGGGGACCCTTGGGGTTGGGGACTCAACCTTTGGGAGAAGAATTACCTATTTAAATACGCAAATTCAACCTTCAATTATCTATGCATGAACAATTTCAATATAATCTTGCCTTAATATACTTTAAAGTACTTATTTAAAAAAAAAAAAAAGCATTGGGCATTATCCCAATCGCGCAATGCGCGTAAAAATCTACTATACTAATTAATAAAGCCAATCATATTAACTATCTGAGGGATTTGTTGACAATGAGAGTATTCAAATCACACAACAAATTGAAGTGAGAATTACCTCGCAATGTACTTGTTTGACAATCAGCAGTTAGCGTTAGCGGATTATATTAGCGAATTTGACCAGCGAATTATATCAACGGTTGATAAAAATATATTTGAAAAAATTAGCTGTTGTTTAGATTAACATGTAAAATGACCTAAGAGTATACATATATTTAATAATAATAATAATAATAATAATAATAATAATAATAATAATAATAATAATAATAATAATAATAATAATAATAATAATAATAATAATAATAATAATAACAATAATAATAATAATAATAATAATAATAATAGTTTTAAAAAAAATAAATAAAATAAAAATATATAATTAAGTCAATCATATTAACTACTTGAGGGATTTATTGACAAAAAGAGTATCCAAATCACACAACAAATTGAAGTATGAAACTACCTCGCAATGTCCTTGTTTAGAAATCAGCAATTAACTTTTCAATATTAGTATATATTTAATATTTTATGCCCTAATTTTAATTTACTTTCCCTTATGTCCCGTATTTGGTTTCAACTATACCTATACAATTATTTTATTGACAATTATAATTAATATTGACTATATTATCTTAGCATTTGTAAACTTAGAATTGCCTATTTAAATACGTAAATTTAACATTCAATTATCTATGCACGAACAATTCCAATATAATCTTGCCTTGATATACTTTAAAGTACTTATTTAAAAAAAAAAAAACATTGGGCATTATCCCA